TGTCTTTGTCTTCAGCAACTTCGTTAAGTAGATTCCCAAGGGAGCTGATGGGTATCACACGGAGATGTGTTTTTTATTTATCATTGAAGACCTTATCATTTTTATTTTTTTGGTAATCATGTTAAATATATAGACCTTATCATTTAGTTATAACCTTACTAAATTATCCAAAAAAAACACTACAAGTTCCTCAACTTTGTCCTCCGGTTTATTGTTGATTTTATTTTATGTAATATATTTTTTTAGCAGAACTTGTTAGAAATTTTTATGTAATATCATAAAGATAAACTCATCTAACAATGAGTATTAGAATATTCGCTTTAAGAGAACATTATACTCGTATCTATAGTTATTTTAGTTATAAAAGATTGTTTCTCAAAAAAAAAGTTATAAAAGATTATTGGTGTCTTATATTTAGCCGAAATCTAGTATATTCATCATAGCTTTCTTTTTTTTTTATTCATCATAGCTTTCATTCACATATTGGTTAGAAGATGAAATTAAATGATCCACCGAGGCGACAACTTATACCGACATGAGTTTGATCATGTGAATTCGAACATAGTTGAGTCAACCCACGGCTTTTAAAACATGGTATGGCTTTTTAAGTGTTTCATGAAATTCGGTTTAAAGCCGTGCATGTACATCTACTCAATTATATCCAGAAAAGAACGTTAACGTTTCTTTTAAAAAAAATTTATCATCCATACAGAAAAAAAAATCCAATTATATATAACTCACACGAACGAATCTACCTAGCAACCTAGTCCACACAACTTGCACCATAGAAGTTTTTAACAGAAATAGTAATAGATTGTTGGGACCAAGTATTTTTATCCAGTGTTTGTTTATATATATATGGCTGCAAATAAAACTTACCTTTGCTTGGCTGATGGCTTTCTATAGCTTCGAATCGACGCAATTACAAACTTGTCTCTTTCTTGGATAAAAAAGTAAATGAGGCTCAGAGACTTTTAAGTAAAACGTCGTCTCCTTTCGGTGGATGCTCTTAGCTCATAAATGCCCCCACAATATCCCAACTTGTAGGTTGCAATCTAACCTAATGTTTTCAAGTATCCATCATATCATCATAATATGTTCATTATCGTTAGATCGGTAGGGATGTAATACAACTTTCAACGAACAAAATTATGCGATACGGGGTTGAAACTTAGCTAATGTGAAAACTAAAGTGATAAGGATTCGAAAATTAATGTCAGCAGAATTTAGTGGACCAATATTTGTGGTCCATATACACAACTAGACACGATGGCCCCCAAAGTATTATCACATTTTTTTTTTTGATCAAGTATTATCACATTTCTTTGTTAATTAATTTTTGTACACAACGAAAAATCATATTTATATATAGATATATACCCTCGGTTTACAAATTTATGTAAAATTACAAGAACGTACATTTTACTAGTCAACATGTGAATTAAATGCAGTGTGGAAAATGTTTTCATCTCGGTTGTAACTAGACTCTGACAGAATTGAATTCAGATAAATAAACTCTTTCATATTTTTTTACTAGATGATGAACTTATAAAACCGTAGTTCAAAAATATGCAGAGCTCTAATTATGGAAATTAAAAAACAAAAATTCCAGTACGTACTATTTGGCTATGGTGTGTGACGAAAACACCCTTAATCATTGGTCCAGACTCAAAAGAGTGTTTCAGATAAGGTACAGATCAGAATCCACCACTAGAAATCGAGCAATAGATCTCTCACCTCCACAGAGCATGATCCCAAGAGGTGGTGGGGTCTCCTCATTAACAATCAACTCGTTGTCTGAAAGCTCGCAACGTGTCGCACATCCTGATTGGGTTTCAGTACTATTGCCCCCACCGAATCATTATCTTTCACTCGCTCGCTAGCTACCTTAGCTGTATTCACTCTGCCTGATCTCTTTCCTCTCTTGTCGCTATCTGTCTGAACCTGGAACGAACCTTTGCCCCTCCTTTCTATCTCTATGCCCTCTTCTTCTGTTTCAACTCTCATTTCTCATTTTTCTGAAAATTTGTGACTCATCTAGAGAGATAAAAACCTAGAGAGCTAGGAGAGAGAGCCTTCTTCTCTTAGCTCTATTTTGTTACGTGTGAAGCAGAAAGCACGCTTATAGCTTATAGCTAAGAAGATCTTCTACATCATTCAGGGCTTCTAAATCTGGTAAGTACTTTAAAGGTTTTGGGGTTTGAGAGGTACTATATATGGAATTAGTTACTTTTTATGCCCTATTAAATCATTTTCTCCTGAATTGCTGGAGATGGGATTTTTTTTTTAATTTATAATTATTTTCCTAATCTTGGCTAATGATTAAACTGTTGAGATTTGGAATAATATTTCAAAGTTTGATGATTGCTTGCATCATCCTTTTTTTATGCTCGCTCCTACTCTAAAAGCTCATGTTAAACATTATCTTAATCAACTAGTGTATATATCTAATCATTAGTTTTTTATTCAGTTGAGAAAAGTAATTTATTATATTCTTATTTGGGTATCTTCTGTACAGATCTAACATGGAGCAACTGTTTTCTGATTGGAATTTTGAAGATAATTTTCACATGTCCTCTAATAAAAGATCAATCAGGTATGTATACAATCCAGAAATATCTTCTAACTAATACTTTACTTTTAAATTCTAATCATAATTACTTAAGTTGTATGTGATTAATATTCATGTTTTGGACAGACCAGAAGATGAACTAGTGGAGCTACTATGGAGAGATGGTCAAGTTGTGTTACAAAGCCAAGTTCGTAGAGAACCATCAGTCCAAATCCAAACCCACAAACATGACCAAACCCTACGAAAACCAAATAATACTTCCCTTGAGAACCAAGAAACAATACGAAAACTTAATGACAATGTCCAGGGAGATCAAGAAACCGTCTCATGGATCCAATACCCTCCTGAAGATGTAGTTGACCCGTTCGAATCCGAGTTTTCCTCCCACTTCTTCTCTTCAATCGATCACCTCGATGGTCCAAATCATCCCAAGAAGCCTCTGACTATCAAAGAAACAGCTAAGCCTGAGGCTACTAAAGCCATGGCTCCTCCTAAGTTTAGACCACCGGTTGTAAGCGTTGGACCGAGCCATTGTGGGAGCAACCAATCTACAAATGATCATCAGGTGACTCATCCACTGGTCTCTATGAGTGATAGAAGTAAGAACGTTGAAGAGAGACTTGACACTTCGTCTGGTGGCTCATCCGGTTGCAGCAAAGAAACTGAGAGTGGAAAAAGTGTAACCATTAGCCGTAAAAGAAAACATGCAACGGATACTGATCAAGAATCCATGTCTCAGTCTGATGTACGTTTGATGTCAACCGATGATCAAGCCATGGGTAACAAATCTAGCCAACGGTCAGGATCTACTAGAAGAAGCCGTGCAGCTGAAGTTCATAATCTCTCTGAAAGGGTATATACTTTTTACATTACATATTTAATCAGGAGAAATATAATAAAACACATTTATTTTGAAAAATAGTAAAAATAAAACAATTTTATTTTATATTTTGGTTTGGTTTAGTGGTTATGGTTTATGGCTTAGTATTTAGAAGATGGAATTAAGGTTTGAAGTATGGAAAATTTTCTCCTTGTTTATTATTTCTATGATAATTTTTTTTGTGTGTTACCTTTCCCTTTAATTATTGTTTGTTTTAGCAACACCTATGTTTATTTTAAGGTGTAATTGATATTTAAAGTTTTATAGTCTGCTTAATTTTGTGATCATTGTTTATTATAGAGAAGAAGAGATCGGATCAATGAGAGAATGAAAGCTCTTCAAGAACTTATACCTCATTGCAGTAAAGTAAGTTCCCATTAATAGAAAAGAGATCAAAGATAAGTAATGACTAAAGATGGAGACTGATTAATTAATTATATGTTCATCAATATTGTAGACAGATAAAGCGTCAATTTTGGATGAAGCAATCGATTACTTGAAAACACTTCAAATGCAACTCCAAGTGATGTGGATGGGAAGTGGAATGGCTGCAGCGGCTGCAGCAGCAGCTACTCCAATGATGTTTCCTGGTGTACAATCATCTCAGTACATGAATCAGATGGCTATGCAGAGTCAAATGCAAATGCCTCAGTTTCCGGTTATGAACCGGCCCGCTGCTCAGAACCATCCCGGTTTAGTATGTCAAAACCCGGCTGTACAGTTTCAGATGCAAGCACAGAACCAAATGTTGTCGGAGCAGCTTGCTAGGTACATGGGTGGGTTTCCACCCATGCCGGCAGCGACTCAGGTTAGTGCAAAGTTTTAAGAAGAAGTATTGATGTTTTTTTTTAATTAAAAAAAATGTTGAATATCTGATGTGTTATGTTGAAACTACATGCAGACACAAACAGTGCAACAACCAATGGACATGATGAGATTTGGGTCTACGGTGGGACAGCAAAGTCAACTGTCGACACCGGTTACCACCGACAGTCTTCGTATGGGTAAAACTGGCTGACGTGGAAAAATCGATTGTTTCTGATATTATCTATTTTTGGAGGCATAAACATGAAACTTAAGAAATGTATTATACGGTTCTACTAAGGTGGTACAGTCAAAGACTTCTAATAATTTAAGTGTTGAGAAGAAAAAGAATGTCATGTATCATCCATTTTTATATTTGGATGCATCCATTTTTATATGTGGATGAGTGATAGGTATCGTCATTATTAAGATGATTATGTGATTCTTTCCTCTTATAGATTGATATATGAGCTGAAACTCAAAGGCTTCAATTGAAAACAAATTTAAGAGGCTGAGTTGGGCCTAGAAAGATACTCTAATGGGCCTTTGTTTATATTCTACAAGATTATAATAAAAATGTAAACGCGAGAAAATAAATCGGAAAACGCTTAACGCAACTTGCGTAACGCCTCCATTTTTGCGTCTAAATAAAAAAAATGGTTAAAAACGTTTATACTTTGGCAAGAAAAAAAGATTTAAAGGTTTATAAATGCTCCAGAAATACGAAAAAGAAAGTAAAAGAAAAAAATATCATAACTTTGAAATTTTAATTTGAAAGGATAAGAGAAGAATAGCTCTCTTCTTCCTCTTTACAGAGGAGAAAGCTACGAACTTTAGATGTCACAGACTGTAATTTTCAAGCCGTTCGTCTCAGTCCCTTCAAGTAATCACAGGTTTCCTCTTCTCTCATTGTCCACTTCCTTTACCTGTCTCGAACAACTCTCACTTTGGTTAGGTTCTGTACTTGCCTCTGTTCTAGACTCTGTTTCGTCTTTAGTAGCTCTATAGAAAAAGAAGCCGCCTTTACGAGTTTCTGTGAAAACCAGTGATGGGTTTCGTTTAATTTGATCGATTGTGTAAAGCTTAAGCTGTAAAGGGTTTATCTTTTTTACTGAAAGTCTCTATGTGTTTGGTTAGGTTCTTGACACTCTGTTCTAGACTCTGTTTCGTCTTTCATTGAAAAAGGAACAGCCTTTACGAATCTATGAGAAAAAAAGTTAATGGGTTTCGTTTAATTCAATTGATTGTGTAAGCTTAAGCTGTAAAGGGTTTCTCTTTTAACTGAAAGTCTCTATGTGTTTATCTTTGTGTCAGCGAAAGGAAACTACAGAACAATGTTATCAATGTTGGTGTTAAGATCCAAAACCGGTTCAGAGTTGTATGTATGGGGATGCTTGCCCCAAGGAAGTTTCTGCAAAAGAGGAGGAAGATAGAGGTTTTCAAAGATGCAGCAGACGAGGTTGATCAGAAGAGATGGAGAGGGCTAATGTTAGAGATTGAATCTAGTGGTTCTGCAGTTTCTGTCCTTAGGCAGTACAAAACTGACGGTGACCAAGGTCTTCCTAGAGACCTTGTTTTGGGTACTTTGGTTAGGTTCAAGCAGCTAAAGAAATGGAACCTCGTTAGTGAGGTATGGAGAATGAATGAATGAGAGTGAAAAACATAACTGATTTTAGATTCTTTCAGTGAATGAAGTTAGTCTTGAATCTTGGTAGAGAGATATTAGATGAGACATGTTAATCTAGTGTTGAGGATTTTAATATTGGTGCTACTAAAAAGCTGTGTTCGTTTGTTATTTTAGACCTGAAGAGTTTCTCTTAAGACATGAATAAATAACTGTGCTTACCAATGTTCAAAAAATCGCTTGGCGCTAGTTAGGCAGATTTGCCTGACTAGACCAATTTTTAGAAAACTGGTGCTTACTCTCAGCAGTGTTAAGACTATTGCAAGCTATTAGTTTTAACAGGGAAGTTATCTACTTGTATCTGATATTTTGTTTCTTTTTGATTTCCAGATTCTTGAATGGCTTAGATACCAGAACTGGTGGAACTTCAGTGAAATGGACTTTCTGATGCTCATCACAGCTTATGGGAAGCTAGGTAACTTCAACGGAGCCGAAAGAGTTTTAAGCGTACTAAGCAAGATGGGATCAAGTCCAAACGTGATTTCCTACACCGCGCTCATGGAATCTTACGGTAGAGGAGGCAAATGCAACAACGCTGAAGCCATATTCAGGAGGATGCAGTCCTCAGGACCAGAGCCTTCTGCTGTAACTTATCAGATCATACTCAAGACTTTTGTAGAAGGGAACAAGTTTAAAGAAGCTGAAGAGGTTTTCGAGACTCTTTTAGATGAGAAGATATCGCCGTTGAAGCCGGATCAGAAGATGTATCACATGATGATATACATGTACAAGAAGGCTGGAAACTATGAGAAAGCTAGAAAAGTATTTGCTTCAATGACTGAGAAAGGAGTTCCACAGTCTACTGTTACTTACAATAGTCTTATGTCCTTTGAAACTAACTACAAAGAAGTTTCTAAGATCTATGACCAGGTGATGTGAATGATCTTTTCTTGTAAGTATTGTGGCCTGTGATAATAGTGATCTAATCCTTTTGAGTGAATTTTTAACTTTGCAGATGCAAAGATCAGGTATTCAACCTGATGTTGTAAGTTATGCTTTACTTATTAAAGCATATGGAAGAGCAAGAAGAGAGGAAGAAGCTTTATCTGTTTTTGAAGAGATGCTTGATGCTGGTGTAAGGTCAGTTTTTTTTCAGCTTCCAACAACCGTTTCTTGCTGAAGCTTCTACGGATGGTCTCTCTTCTAGATATATAATTGTCTTTTGTTATTGTTTATCAGGCCAACGCATAAAGCTTATAACATTTTGCTTGATGCATTTGCTATTTCTGGAATGGTGGAGCAAGCAAAGACTGTTTTTAAAAGCATGCGACGGGACAGGTAAAGAAGTAGTTATATCATATGAACTAGGCATGCTGGGTTCGGGTAGTTCGGTTCAACATAAATCTTACCGAATTAATCCGAAATAAAGTTTGGTTCAGTATTCGATTAGTTTGGTGTTTGAAACTCTTATGAAAGTTTTTGATTTTGGTTATATTTTGGTTAAAATATAGGAATAAGTTTGGTTAAATTTGGTTAATTCAGTTCGCTTGTTTGAAATTTGGTTAGTTCGGATCATGTTTTTGGTATAGTTTGGTTGTAATCTTTTAAAAGAAAACCGAAGTAACCGATTTCCGAACCGAACCGAAGCAAAAACTTAACTTACCAAACTAACCTAAAGTTTCGGTTCAAAGTCCCAGCCTTAACTGTGTTACTTCTACATTTTAGATTGGTAACAGAACATAATCTTCTTGCAGATTTTATCCGGATCTCTGCTCTTACACAACTATGTTATCAGCATATGTAAACGCTTCAGACATGGAGGGTGCTGAGAAATTCTTCAAGAGGATAAAAGTAGATGGTTTTGAACCAAACATAGTCACCTATGGGACAATGATAAAAGGTTATGCAAAAGCAAACGATCTTGATAAAGTTATGGAGGTCTACGAGAAAATGAGGTTAAGTGGCATCAAAGCGAATCAAACCATCTTAACAACTATCATGGATGCGTCTGGGAGGTGTAAGGATTTCGGGAGCGCTCTTAGTTGGTACAAGGAGATGGAGAGTTGTGGAGTACCACCTGATCAGAAAGCTAAGAATGTGCTTTTATCATTGGCTTCAAGTCAAGATGAGCTGGAGGAAGCTAAGGAAGTTACTGGTCTTCTAGATGAGAAGACAACGAGCCGTGCTGGTGTCTATGGAACTAAAGATGATGATGATGAAGACAATTATATCACTAGTAGTGATGAGGATGAAGATGATGATGATGATGAATATGAAGAAGATGATGATGATGTTGATGGTGCAAGAGAAGCTGTGTTGTGTGATGAAGCACAAGAAGGGTCTTTGGCTTATGTTGGCTCACAGACAGAAGAACTTGTGGAGTTGTGAAAACTACTATATGTTTTGTAATATCATCAAATGCGATTTTGCAGAAGAGGACTTAGTAGGTTATCCATTACTTATGTCTGTAGTTTACGAAATGAAATATGTTACTCAATCCTAAGAAACACAAAGGTTATCTTAGACTCTTTTGGTAGAGATACCTCTTGACTCTTATTTGCATAAGTTTTTTTAACCTATGAGCTGCAATGAAATATCTACTAAATCTTATGATATGTATAAATATAAACAAAGAGAAAGAAAGATTGAGCAAGATCATACCTCAAGACCAAGATTGGTTTTGAAGCCAAAGACAGAGCCAATAAGAAGACCAATGACAAACTAAGTAACAAGATTCACATAATGACACAATCCACTTCCAGAGCAGTAACTTGAGAAGCAAGCTTCCGCAACAGTTGCTTCCTGAATTTTTCATGGTTTAGTTCTCTAAAAAAAGCCAGTCGATGCACTCATTTGATACCTATTTTTCAGCTGCATTTTTTTGCATTTCTTCATCATTTTTTCCTTTGTCTTTTTATCATCCAAGAGACCAAAACCCTTTCATTTTATTTATCATTTATGTTTCAAATTTCTTTCTCTTGTTATCTGATTTAAATCGTTCTTCAGGGTGTATATAGATATTAAGGTCAGTCATTTCGATTGTAATAAAATGGTTATTTTAACTCTTATTTTTTCTCGTCTTTTATTCACACGATAACTATAATAAAATTGTCATATTATCTCTTATTAACCTCCAGGTTTCTAAACAACCTTTGTTTTTTTGGGGTGTTATGATTAAGATTAAGTGCGTCGAATTAAGTGTTAGCGTAAACCGATGGTGGTTTAAGGAAGTTAAACGAATCAACACTTTAAAATTTAGTGTAGAATAACTTGGAGGCGGTAATTATGAAAAAAAATTGAGACTAACATAGGTATAAATATGTTTTTGCTTAAATTATTAGTATGTGATATTTATATGATGGTTGTACTTCTAAATCGTCATATATTTAAATGATTTTATTAGACCTTTAATTTAACAATCATTAGAATATATCAAAGAGAAAATTGATGATTGTTAAGAATGCTAGTATTTTCGATAACTATCTCCATTTCTTCTCTTTTTTTTTTATTTGATATGCCAATAACTAAAAACTTTGAAGTTTTGATTATCCTTTTTGCCTTTTATTAATATTGAAATGTCTATACAGTTATGGAGAAATGACTTTTTCGTTTCTATTAACGAATGACTAGGTTTTAACCCGCGCTTAAAAGCGCGGAAATTTTTATGATTAAAAAATTATATAATTGGGTTTTTATCATAATTTAAAGAATGTTTTGATATAAAATCATTTCATCAAAATTTGTGGTGATGATTGTTTTTCATTAGTTTATAGTTTCAATTTTTATTTTTAGATTTTGTTTTAGATTTTGATTTTTTGGGTTTTAGTTTTTAAGTTTCTATTTTTGATTTCAGCTTTTGGTTTGAATTTTTAATTTTTAGATCCGATGAGTTAGTTTGAACTGATATTATCAACAAACAAATCCCAAATAATCGAACATCTAATTTAAAACTGAAAAGATGACAAAAGTTTTTTTTTTTTTAATTGCAATATTTTATTTTGTAAATAAAGAAAAGCAAAAAATATAACCTGCGTTTTCAACTTTTGGTTTTAGATTTTAGTTTTTATGTTTAGTTTTTGGTTTTGCTTTACATATTTTTTTAAATCAGTAAATTATTTAAGAAAAAGAAAATAATATATTATTTAAAATTTATCAAAAAAAAGGATTGTTATTTAAAATAAAATACATTATCATGTTTTAAGTACATTTTTTAAATAAATGATTAATAATAGACAATTTTGTTTTGTTAAAAATCTTAAATACCTTTTGGGCCTGAAAAATTTTTTTGATCCATTAAGGTGGAAAGTTTATTCAATGTTTTTTGGAGTTTTTCCTTAATATTAAGCTCAAAAACCAAATCATATAATTTATTCTAAAAACAAAAATAAGCCCAAGACTATATCCCATAAATAACCACCGGTTTAATTTAAGTAATACGGTTTAATTAACTATATGACTTGTATTATTTGTAACATTCTAGAAATGTTTCAAATTTAAATGACAACTTGTATTAGTAGATAAAAAGAATGACTCTATTTTAATAGAGTAGATAACAAAAGCGTTAGGTGCCAATGACACTTCTAAAACCTTCATTTTCGTGCTTTCAGCGAATCAAATCAATCAATTTAAGTATTTTTTTGTAACAAGGCTTTCAAAGATCAATTTTAGTCCTTTTTCTTTTCATTTTTTTCATCATCAATCAATTTTAGTCACTGAATCGAATTCATTAGTCTGCATTAGTTTATAAAGCTTTTTCTAGTTTTACTGATTTGATAACCAAACTGCAGCTTTACAAGGGAAGATAGCGACATAATTAGTATTATATGTAATTTTTTTGGAGAATAAAAACAACAATAGTATTACATATACGACAGTAATATATCAAAGAACACGACCAATTCCGTGAAAATGATTGTAACATTTGCAGTTGCAGCTAACTTAATTTGTATGTAGAAAAACTGGACTAAACTATATATTAAGATTCGAGTGTAAATCTGACGCTATGTTTGAGTTAAATAAGGTTGAATGATTTTCTTCCTATATATTTTCCCCAACAAAAAACTTTTTCTTGATTTCCCACATGGTTTTTAGACAAGCAACCAACCAATATGAAAATCTAATTGCGCATAAAAAAATATGAAAATTTCTTCCGAGCTTTCCAAGTTAAAAATCTTGATCTAACATTCCAACTTCTACTTCTGTAAAAAAGATCAAACCCATATTATTAATTATTAAGTCATTTGTTTCTTGAATTTATGTAACTTTGAACCAAAAGCTGGCCAACCTTACGGGTGTACAGTCATGCATATATACAAACTAAATCAATTGTATATGTGATGAATTGAGAGCAACATGCAATGGTTATGTTGCAAGTTGCAACCGAGTTTAAATAGCTAAGCAAGCAATTTTTGTTTTGAATAAATGTAAAATTATATTCAATCAAAAGACAGTGTTACATCTAGTACTTCTGTAGCCAAGCACGCATTTTGAAGTGAAGAGCAGATGTCTGAAGACCAAATACTATATCCAACGTACCCACTAAAGCTCTAAAGTCCAACTTTTCCTTTTGCTTAAATCGGAAAAACTATTAATCCTATATATCAATATACAGCAACATGAAAACATGGCAATCATGTTATTTTTCTTTTGTATCTTTTTTTTTTTTTTGCTTAAATTTCTTTTGTATCTTAAGATACATATTGTTAATATAATAGAAACCACGTAAACTAAGCATTTGAGCAATATTTTCGGAAAATTGTATAATTATATAAGAAAGAATATGTTTATGTATATAAATATATATACGACGGCTTTCACAAATATAATACGAATTAAACAAGACATGGACGAGACTAGAGTATATATGTATATCAGCCTACATGGTATATATATATAACAGAAGAATTAACTAAAAAAACCAACCAACAGTTTCCTATTGTGGGTCTATCACGAATAGCGTTTCGCCGAAAAGGCCAAAAAGATAACGAAAGGGATAGTCTATCAGTATTTTGATGGAATGTCATTTACAACATAGCCCCTATCTTTCTTCAACTAACAACTAAATAATGTATTAGGATTATATTTTCTTACAAAATCCTCATATTAACTATAATAATGACTTCTTAATCTGAGAAGATTTCTGTTGAATATCAATGCCGACACGCTAAGAAAATCAGAGGGATAACTATTAAAAACCCAATTCATGCGAACATGATTATTTATGTATACTGTTTGGGAAGTTAATTAGTATTAATCTGGTAAGTCAAACAATTTAGGTGTATTTGAAATTTTGGATAATTTAGGATTTAGGACCCAAAACGATTGTCTTATTTTTTTACAGATGAACGATAATTCATGGATAAGATGTGTGTGCAGCAGTATAACCTTGATCCTGGGGTCTCTCCCTTTTTATTTTGTTTGTTGAAGTTTTAGGGCTTGTCTTCTTAATGGAATTTCCAGCTACAACGATACTGTGATTCATTTGAAATTTATTGACTAAATTTATATAATGCAAAAAACGATCACTAATCTTGAATAAATCGATGACAATATATAAGAGCATTGATGTGTTTAGTCTTTAGTGGCATGCATGTTTTCCAGCTCAGATTTCAACTCAGAGACAAAGACATCTTCAGTGCCCAAGTTGTAGACTTCTTGTTTCACTGATCAACTTCATATATAGAGAAAGATTTTGTATTTACGTATTTGTCTATATTTCTGTCAAATTGAATATGAGAATATGTTTACTTTGTTCCTCCATATAAGATAAAATAATAAGTATCTTCCAGTATCTTGGTAGTACTGACAATTTAAGGAAACAAATTGATACTAGGTTCACCTTTGCAAATATCTTCCAGTATCTGTCACCCACATGATATAATTTCGAATCACTTTAGGTTTCCATAGCTATGTGACTTCTGTCTAATACGTGCCTATTGTTCAAGTTGTTTTATGATTCTGATCATACTTTCACTCAAAATGTACTGAAATTTTAATATGCAATTCCAAAGTAAGCATTTCAAGCATAACCCAAGTATATAGACTTCAAGCATTTCTCAAAATCTTTAGTTCAATACACAACAATTATAAATTGTATGTATCAAGTTCTTTGGACGAATCCTTAATAATTCTTGGTCGTTATAGATTTTTTTTTTTTTTTTTGAACACCACTTCTTTGTTATAATTATCATATAAATGCTGAGGACGACAAATTATCTTTGAGTAATTGATATTTAGTTGCGGCTTTAATTTGTATCCCGCGGGTCTAACTCGGGCGAATAGAGTGACGACGAAAAGTGACGTGCGTTGAGCCATTAAATCTCTTAAGAGTTTCGAGAAAATGATACCCATCTTATTAACTCTAATTTAATTTTCCATGTGCGTTAGGTGGAATCATTTATACATGCAGATATCATGCAATGCAATGGTTAATTGGTTTACTTTAATCAATAATACTTAGGTTATTTTGATACGAACAATCAAACACATAAACTCAATGTATACTACTATGTACGTTCTTTCAAATGGACATTTAGTTGGTATGAAAATTTGGTCCCATTTAAGGTTATACTGAAATATTAGAGGCTCATATATAGTTATGGAGTCTTGGAGATGTTGTATTTTATACGTAATTACTGCATCCATATGTACATCAATACATACGTTATTTATTGTTTGATTCTGACATTAGGTGAAAGTGTCATACTATATTGCTATGCCTCGCTATGCATGGCTGAAAAAGTGATGCATGTATCTATTACCATTAGAGCACCAGTAGTGGCTTAAGAAGAACTTTTAGAGAAAAAATAATTAAATAATCAGCGGATCCTACAAAAGGTTAATGATTAATCTTTAAAAGTCTTTAAATAAAAACCGGTCATTAGCGAATCCTTGCACTATTTGCGGGCCACCACAACATACATTGACCCGCATTTAGTTGGTATTTACTTTTTTTTATCTGAAAAATAATAATAATTAAAAAATCAAAATCTAAGGGCACCTTTATGGCAAGACAAAAGTGGGTTTCTTATGTATGGAGCCCACCAAAAAATTGAAAAACCGTGTACTATTGTTGCTAAATAAGAAACGTATTTGGAGAGTGTTTTGTACTGTAGGCGGACCCCACTGACACGTGGTGGTCCGCCATTAGTTGATGTTATTATTTTTCTTTTTTTTTAAGAAAAAAAAAAGAAAAAAGAAAATAAGAAACCCAAGTGGGGATTATGGGATAAAGATGCCCTAAAGACTCTTTCCTTTAAGTTTTGAGTCCTTGTCCTTTTTCTTTTGGTTGGTGTGGTCTTTGTAGGTGTTATCCTACCACCACTCTCATTTCTCTTTTGTTATCGGACGTTAAAAAAAAAAAATCAAATCCTAAGGATTCTTTAAGGATTCTTAGAATCGTTTTTGCGTTTCGTCCACAGCCACAAAACTAAACTATGTTTTATTTGCATATACATATAAACACCTTGCCTGATGCAATCTCATACACAATCATATATCATACTCAATAGGACTGCCGTCAATAAATCAAAAGGATTACATTAGGTTTACGTTACTATACGATTAATGTTTAGATGTGAAATAAGATTTTGTTACCGAAAAACAGAATAAGGTAGTGTATTATGTAAACCATTTAATGCTAAGAAACAAACAAATCGACCTTTCCAAAAAGCCATCAATTATTATCAGACAGGAAGGGATGGTGGCATGTCTTATATGTAAAAAAAGGTTTACAACTGTGTTTTGTAGGTTTACGTATTTCTATAAAAAAAGTGCTTATTCGTTTTGCTTTAGAATTGGTTGAAACTTAAGACTCACGCAGTAATAAGGAGGAAACATAAACCTGAGACAAGAAGGCCCATCAAAAATAGTCAAATCATGCCTAATAGATGAAAAAATCGATTTCTATTCATAAGCAAGCATGAAATAAAACTTACTAATTTATTATGGAATCTTAAGCCTATTTGATACTGAAAAATGTTTTTATACAAGCCTTTTACTTTGGCATCGTATCCAAACTATTTACATAGCGAGAAAAAAGAATCCTGAGAAAAATATTAAGAGTCATGCAGTATATATGGTTAAAACTTAAGAGCAATGCAGTAGTTATATGGTTCAAACTTAAAACTTAAGAGCTACTTTCCGGTCTCAAATAAACTGAAGAAACCTCATGCAGTAATATGGTTCAAAATGAAGTAACCTTTTAAGAAATGTTGTTACAAAATGCTATGGCTGATTACTTTTTTTTTCTCAATTAGTTTTCACAATTCTATCGCAACAGAACAAAACTTATTTTCTCTACGGACTAGCAAACCGTTAAGTAAACTTTAATTGTTTAAAAAAAAAAAGTAAACTAAAATACCAACATACCAAAGATAAGGAACAAACAAAGTGTTTTTGGTAGCCTAGTGGTAGTAAAACATGGTTATTTTGTTTTGATTTTAGTTCAGTTTCATAAACACAAAATCTAATATTTCAAATCGTAATTCAAATCTGAATGTGGACCTATAGAAAACTAGGACCAAAAATATATAATTTTCTTTCAAGCTGATACATCAAACGGGATAAATACATTTAAAAAGTCTCCTTATCGTTTACGAAATTGGTCCACTTCCTCTTCAAAAGGATCTTGGTACCATGACCTAGTACTAGTTTTTTCTTTTTTTTTGCTTAAATTTGGACCTAGTACTAGTTGATCATGAAATAATATCTATATATACATATTAGTAGGAAGCACTTCTCTACTAAAACACAAACCATCAAAAGTTGCACGTAGGTACGACATGGCAACTACGTCATCCTCGTTACCAAATCATAAGTTCCATAACAAAGTCTTGTTCGTTCTGACATTAAACCTCTTTTTTCTTCAAACTTTAGTGTTTGCAAATTCATCAAAATTCTCCAAATTCTCAAGACACACAAACTCCAAGTCATCATCATCAAGAACCACCAAACATTCAACTTCCAACAATGAGTTTCTCAACTCAGTCCAACTTAGCTTAGACCACGCTCTCTTAGCTCACTCTCTCGCCTTAAGCCTCACGCTCTCTCACCATACAGCTCAACAAGCCATCCTCGATCCTGTCAACGACTGTCTTGAGCTGCTAGACGATACAATCGACATGCTATCTCGCATCGTCACAAAACCTAAAGATCACGTCAATGATGACGTTCATACGTGGCTAAGCGCGGCGTTGACTAATCAAGAGACTTGTAAGCAAAGCCTAAGCGAGAAAACAAGCCTCAACAAAGACGGAATCACGATAGATTCCATCGCAAGAAACCTAACCGGTTTACTCACCAAATCGCTAGGCGTGTTCGTTTCCACGTCTAGACCTGAAACTGTTGGCCGTAAACTACTGTCCGGTCAAGATTTTCCGACGTGGGTTTCTTCCTCGGACCGGAGGCTTTTAGAGGCTTCGGTGGAAGAGCTGAGACCTCACGCGGTGGTGGCCGCAGACGGGAGTGGGACACACATGAGCGTAGCGGAAGCGTTGGCGTCTTTGGAGAAGGGGAGTAGTGGCAGAAGCGTAATTCATTTAACAGCTGGAACGTATAAAGAGAATCTCAATATTCCGAGCAAACAGAAGAACGTCATGCTTGTTGGTGACGGAAAGGGTAAAACAGTAGTTGTCGGAAGCAGAAGTAACCGAGGCGGTTATAATACTTACCAAACCGCCACTGTCGGTGAGATTTTCCTTTTAGTCATAAACTAATTGGATAATTTAATAACTATATACATTATTTTTTTGTCTGTAATATATTTTAAAAAATTTGACAAGACCTATATGCAAATTTTGTAGTTTTTATCTGTCTATTTATTTATAAACTGACCAAGCTTTGTATAAAAATTGTAGTTTTATCATTTTACGTGCTCTCATTAAACTAATTACTACGATTTAGATGATGTTATTTAAAAAGAAATTAGTTGATGTTGCAATTTTTAATGCAGAATTTATTAATTTGTTACGTATTTTGTATTTTTCTGTTTATTTATTTATTGGTTAAATAATAATAATTAGTAATGTTTTTATTTATAAAATCTTAAAATTAAATTTATAAATTTATGTGCCTAAACTTGTAACATTGACAAAAAATGGAGGGAAAATCTTACTAAATTTAAATTATTATTTACTTGTGAAAGCCGCAATGGGAGACGGATTCATAGCTCGAGACATAACATTCGTGAACAGCGCCGGCCCCAACGCGGAGCAAGCAGTAGCATTACGGGTCGGGTCAGATAGGTCCGTCGTATACCGATGCTCCATAGACGGTTACCAAGACACACTCTACACTCTCTCCAAACGACAGTTCTATCGAGAAACCGACATAACCGGCACCGTAGACTTCATCTTCGGAAACTCAGCCGTCGTGTTCCAAAGCTGCAACATTGTATCCCGAAAAGGCTCATCCGATGAGAACTACGTCACGGCCCAAGGACGAACCGACCCGAATCAGAATACCGGGATTTCGATTCATAATTGCAGGATAACCGGTTCGACCGGGACTTATTTGGGTCGACCGTGGAAAGAGTATTCGAGGACCGTTGTGATGCAATCGTTTTTGGACGGTTCGGTTCATCCTTCGGGTTGGTCTCCTTGGTCGAGTAGTAGTGCTTTGAAGAGTTTGTTTTATGGAGAGTTTGGTAACTCGGGTCCTGGGTCATCGGTTTCGGGTCGGGTGGATTGGCCTGGGTATCACCCGGCGTTGACGTTGACTGAAGCTCAAGGGTTTACTGTTTCGGGTTTTATTGACGGAAATTCATGGTTGCCGTCAACCGGTGTCGTTTTCGACTCTGGGCTTTTATAATTCAAAAGTGATTTTATTTAAGTTTATCCTCATATACTACCTTAAATTGATTACTAATTGAGAAGCAATGATATACTACAAAATAAAATTGTTATTTATCAAATGTCGTGTGTTTGGATTTATAATTTTATACTATTGTATTTGTGTTGAAAATGGCATTGTAATATTTGCATATAATATAGACATTCATCATAAACTATTCGACTCATGACCATAAATGGCTAACGAGCTTTTTCTACGAGACTACTACTACATAGAAGTTTCGGAACCTTTGGAATCATATATTTTGCTGAGGTGTGAACGACACACACTATAACGAGTAGATGGAAGTGTTTATCTATAAATCACAACCTGGAATATGTATGGTTTCATATGCAGATGCATTACTCAATCACACGAGAACTATATATGGTCGGGATGACTTAAAGAATAGTAAATAATTAAAATAGAGTTTATTTTTTAAAAATTATTTCGGGTTTTTGGCTTATTAAATCTCCAACTATTTGATTTCGACCTATTTAAGCTCATGAATTTAATTAAGCCAACTAAATATTCAATTTTTGTAAATAATCGTATTAAATCATAAATTGTTTAGCTTTTGGCGAAAATGAGCTTCCGTTAATCTCATTAACGACTCTGTCACGTCTCATTTTAACACCGCTATCATATGTTTTTTTTTTAGTTTACTTTTGCTAATAACAGAATATTTTTTGAGTGCAAATTCATTTGAAACAGCGTACAAACAAAAGGTTTAAGAGATGAGACATATTTTTTTATAATTTTGAACAGACGAGGCAACTGTTTTAGTGGAGTTATGATGTAGAAGAAAGCAAAATAAGATTTTTAATAGATAGTCCTTCATTATTGATGGGTTTGTATCTCAGTATCTAATGATGATGACTCTGATCTTATCAACGATTCATAAACTTATCATAGAAAGAAACATAATAAAAGAACAAAATTGTTCAAAGTAAAGAACAACATTGTAGACATGTGTCTCAGTATTTTTCATATCCCGAGACATAAAAATAACCGAGATCCAACCAACATCATGACAAAAAAATCAGACAGAATTGTTCTTTAGAAGAAGAAAACAAGAAGGCTTTAATCAAGATTATCCAATTAGTTCATCCATTCGTCTGCGAGATCTCTCCAGCCTACAAGAACCAAGTTTGTGTATAAAACCATAACAAAGATAGTAAAAATAACTTTCATGAAGATGACCAAAAATCTATGACTAAGATAATTTAAAACTAAAGCATATACTAACATGTTGCTTGTTCTTTACTGGTCGACCTCTAGGACGTTTTCTATCACCACTGGAGGATTAGAACATGTCGTTTTATTGTGCCCCTCCTCCTTACAATGTGAACATGTGATTGTTCTACCATGACCTGTCATTCTTCCTTTCTTTGATGCATCTTCATGAGGCTCTTTACATCGATTATGATTCCTTTTTCTTCCTTTTTTTGGTCTTGGGTCTGGAGGTATGATAGGAAATCTATGTAATCGTGGCCATAACTTCATCCCTTGTACAATTCTCATACCTCGAGCATATGTTTGCTGCCACATATGAGTAGTAAAATACCTAGATACATAGTCATCAAGGTTTAGTTTTTTTCCAGTGATCACACGCATAGCATGACTACAAGGGATCCCTTTCAACTGCCACTTTCGACAACCACACGTTTTTGATTGTATGTCGACACGATATCCAGTCCCATGGTCATCAATTTCATATTCACCACCTGTGGTTTGGTACATAACTAAATCTTTTGCATCCGCTCTACTCTTTTCAATCTCAGCTTGTGTTCTTTTTGTAAATTTTCCCTTCCATCTATTTCCAAGTGTAGACCGTTTAGCATTACGTACCATTGTCTGCCTTCTAATGTCCTCTAACATATCAAGCAATGGCTTTCTCCTAGCTTCTCTAACGGTTTTGTTGAAAGACTCAGACAAGTTGTTTGAGTTGTCAATAGTACAAGATTCTGTCCTAAAGAAAGCTCGAGACCATGTAGTAGGTCTAGTGCATAAAAGGGATTCATATGCACCTGAATTGTAGATTTTTAACGCTTCTAGGTTATCTTCGAAGTCTCCGGTAGTATAACTTCGTGCTATCTTCCAAAACATGAGCTCCAACTCTTTATCTTTGTTAGTTTTCCTCCAGTTTGCAAGGATATGTCGAGCACACATTCGATGTTCGGCTTGCGGAAGCTCTTTATGAACAGCATTTACCAAACCCTGAGATAAATTAACAAAAAAATCAGGAATATAAACATAATATTAAAATTTGGTATATAGACTCAGAAATTGCTGCAAGAAACCTTTTGTTTATCAGATATGATTGTTATGGTGTCTCCTTGTCCAAGATCCAAGTCACTTTGGATATGCTTGATGAACCACTCCCAATTATCATTGTTTTCAATATCAACTATAGCCCATGCGATAGGAAAAATCCTATTATTGGCGTCTCGACCAACTGCAGCCAACAACTCGCCTTTTATATCCCACTTTAAGAAGGCACCATCTAATCCAATAATTCGGCGACATGTTTGCTTCCATGCTTCCCGTAGTGCTTCAAAGCATATATAAATTCGGTAAAACTTGTGTTCAGTTTGTGTTGGACCCGGAAGTGTCTCAATATCCACTGTAGACCCTGGGTTTGATATAAGGATTTCTTTCTCGTAATCCCAAAGTCTACCAAATTGTGTTCCGTGCGTCTTCCTTCTTTGTTCCACCACCTTTTTCTTTGCATGTTCACACTGAAACAATGTAACGTTCAAATTGTAATCTGTCTTTATAGCATTCATCATATCTGTAGGTGAAAGCTTTGGGTTCAATCTAAGAGGTTCCTCAAACAGCTCAGCAATTGCAGGAACTTTTAGCATCTTTGTGTAGCCAGATCTATTGCAGACATGTTCATCTATATAAACTTTAATCATCAGTTTATTTTTTGACTTCTCAAATGAGCAATAAACTCTCCAAGGACACTCCTTTGATGAACAAATTGCCCCAAGCTTCTTAGTCGTTGACTTATAGAGCTTTATATCATACTCTGTCTTCAAAGAATACTTAAGCAAAGCATACTTGAAATCTGCAGCAGTATTGAATGTTTTTCCTAAATGCAAAAGTTCATCCGGATCTATATAATTTGCATGAAACTGTACCCTATTCTCATCGTCTTCGTATTCATCCTCTGAGGAATCAGAAATATGAGGAATTGTATCATCCTCAAATAGCTCACAACCACTATCATCATCACTTACATCATCATGAGCAATATCTCCGAACAAATCCTCTAATTGTGAACACACACCTTCTTCAACCCTATCACAATTATCAACGTCATCCTCACCAATATTGTTTCTTCCATGAGTTGCAGAACTTAAACCTTCGTTGATGTCATCTCTACTACCGTATTCGATATTGATATCAACAAATGCTGCTTCAGAATTGTTTGTTGGAATATCTTCGGTCATAACAAAACTATCAATACACAATAAAATAATGTTAAATCAAAGTTTAGTCAACCCAGCCCAAAAGAAAGAATCAAACAATATACTATTTACCAACACGTATGGCACTTACCTCTTGGTCAATCTTCTAACTTCTAGTTTTTGTCTCTCACTATGCATCGTGAGTTTTCTCTTATTCAGAAATTGAGAGTTTCAAAGAAAATTAGGGATTTGATCATTTATTAGAGAACGTGTAAAAGAAAACGGTGTTAGAAAATTTAATAACAGAGACGTAACTACACGTAGCTTAGGTTCTTTTTGGCCAGAAAATAGAAAATTTATGATTTAGTAAGATTCTTTACAAAAATTGAATATTTAGTTGGCTTAATTAAATTCATGAGCTTAAATCGGCCGAAATCAAATAGTTAGGGATTTAATAAGCCAAAAACCCAATTATTTCAAATGTTAAAAGGAATATTTCAACATATCCTAAATTTTAGCCTTTTCAAAAAAAAGAAGTTAATATCCTAAATTTTCTCCTAATCACCGTTAAAGTTCTAACAATTGTTTGAACAATATCAATTCAAATTTCAAATTCCCTCGAATTTAATATAAATTCAAATTTCAGATTTCCTAGCATTTAGTTTTCTGTTTGATTTTGCATATAATTAGCGATTCTCGAGTTTAATATAAATGATTTTGCATATAATTTCCTCGAGTTTAATATAAATTCAAATTTCAGATTTCCATGCAGAGTGCCAAAGTCTGCTTTTAAATACCAAAAACTCATTTCTCAAAAAAAAAAAGAATACCAAAAACTCGTTAAGTTTCTTTTTTTCTGGCCGTCTTCCTCATTCTCTACGGTTTGGTTGTAACTAGGTATCATGTCGAACTTAACTCATCGCTTTGCTACTACTAATTTCTATTTCATGTTTTTATTCATTTGTTTTAAAGCCTTTCTCATTTTGCTCATCCTGCATACTATTACTTTTTGGTCTTAATGTATTGATGACCTTATAAAAAAAATCTTTGAGAATTGTCTACTTAATATACTTATTATTTTCGTGCAGAGAAGATGGATCATATTAGCAATCTACCAGACGAGCTTCGTGGCCGTATACTGTCTTTCCTTACGACAAAGGAGGCTGCTAGGACAGCGTGTCTCTCTAAGAGCTGGCGCTATATGATGGCTTTTGTCCCGAATCTCACTATTGATGACTCGGAGTTTCTACAACCCGAAGAGGGTAAACAGGATAGGCCCGAGATGACTGAGAGCTTCATGAGTTTTGTGGACAGAACATTGTCCTTGCAAAATAGTGTCCCAGTTGAGAAAGTCTCAATAAAGTGTTCATCTGCGGTTGATACCGATAGAGTGGATGGTTGGATACTAAACGTGTTGGCACGTAACGTTTCCAGCCTTGATGTACAAGTCGGCATAGATGATGATGATGATGGCATAGATGATGATGATGATGGACTTGAAAACTATAAGCTGTCTCCAACATGTTTCAAGAGCAAGACACTAGTAGAACTCAAAGTAGGCTG